ATTCTCTGCCCCACGTCATGGATAGGAATATAATAATTTGTTTTGATCTCTCTTCTGCATGGCACCTAGACTCAGGTTGTCTCGACAGCTCAGACCACGTCCCTTTGCTTTACAGGAAGCGCTGACTGAGATGGAGAAGACGTGGGATTTGGAGGGAAGGAATGGGACAGTGGGATTCAGATTACCTCCCAGTTTTTTTGGGGGTGCACACCCCACTCCTGCACCCCCCCCCATTCAGAGCTACGCCACTGGGAACTCTGGGGATGGTTCGGTTTTCGCTACAGCCCTCGCAGGTTAGGAAATCCAGTTTGTTTTGCTGTTAGGTGGTTAAATTCTGTTTAATTCCTGTTTTTTTTTATTGTTAAATAAAACTTTAACCCTTTGAGTTCATAAATGCCCCTCCCCTCTCTTCCTGTGACACCCCACCTCTTTGTGCTCTCCAGACACAAAGGTGAGTCCCTGTCTACACCACTGTGACCCTTGCCCCCCCCGTGACCTGTGACCTGGAACTAATACTCTGATCGCTTCTGCTCTGAAGGGTTACAGTGCCCACTGCACAGAATGCCCAGTTTTAACGAGGCAATGATCTTGTCTTGTCACGGTCTTCAGCTTCAGATTGCAAGAAATGTGTTTTAAAACGTCTTAAGGCTGATGTTCTGCGTATTAAAACCACGTGCCACGTGGTTAGAAATAATGTAAGCCTGAATGCAGCTCAACACTTCCTTGAAGTGCCTAAGCATAGCCTTTTTCTTCATCTGCTAAAATGAAGTTGGATTAAGCCCTTCATGAACTGGTGGCTGGGCTGGAGTTCACTCCCCCTTTTCTCAGGTTAAGACATCTAAGATGTCATGACACCCCTGCCCCTGTAGGGGGCGGTATAGGTTATTTCGGTCGTACTGCCTTTCCTTGTCAGCTGGTACACACAGATGCGACTGGACAGACCGGAGCCTTCAGTGGGGGAAGTACAGCACCCTGATCAAGGAAATAATGGCAGGAGGTGTGCTGGGATATTTACCTCTCGCCCTTGTGAGGATCACGTTAAGAAATGTTAACGAGTTTCTGCACCACAGACGCAACTGGGGACTTCCAGTTTGCAGGAGATGAAGGTTTTCTTTGTCTCTTCCTGCTATCAACAGCCGAATTCTGAAGGGATACATTCCTTTCATTTACTGTTTATCCATTATCAGACACCCCAGAGGGGAGAGCAGGCAGCTTCTGCGTTTACAACAGCATGTTTCCGAGCTCTAAAGGGTAAACACAAATACTGAGGTTTTTTTCCCCGAGAACATTTTCCCTGTGTACCGATTTCTTTGTTTGTTTTAAAACAAAAAGGATTGGTAAATCTTCTGCTCTCTCCCAGCTCCTACACAGTGGGGTGTAGAGTTGTTAAGACTACAACCCCGCGTGGGAGGAAGAGGGATTTGGCGCTTTTTGCTTTCAGCACAAGGTCTGTTCCTGAAAAGCGCGCCGCTGTCCTCCAGCCTGGGAATGTCACCGGAGGCAGTGAAGCCGCCCGGAGTTATCTCAGAAAAAGATACCGTCACGTCCCCCCCCGGCGACCGAGACGGTCTTCCCCACGGCCCCTGGCACAGGCGGCCCGGGCCGAGGCTGTCCTGTCAGCTGGGGCGGGAGACCAGAGGCCAGGCAGAGGGCCGATTCTGCTTCAGCAGCTGCGGACTTGCAGGAGCATTTTTTTATTCTGGTGTAGCTGGTTCTGTTTCTTAAACTGGGCAATCTTCCTTTATATAAGACGTTTTTCCTTCTCCTTCCTTTTGCTCTGAAATACATGTACTTAGCGCTTGTATACCCAGTGGCCTTTCCTGGCTTGGCTCTGCTGTTGCTATGCCTGCCAGTCAAACAGTTCCAGATGTCAAGAGTAGCATCACTGCCTTGCAAACTCATTGCCTGCAGGCCTCAGAAGCTAAGCACTCGGGGCTGGACCTGGTCAGTACTGAGAGGGATAAAAGCACTAAGAAATACTTCAAGGAAAACTGCTGCTGCTGTAGTGGTGCTGGTGCTCTCTAGATCAGAATTAGCTTATAGACCCTTCCTTTGGTGAAGGTTGCTGGTGCTGAATGGCTGCTGTGCGTCTCCCAGGTGGGGGCTGCTGGGGCAGAATGATCACTGTGTGTCTCCCAGGTGGGG